AAAATAATTCCATTAAAGCCGGTCATAAAAGTCTCGCAGAAAGTAAGTAGGCATGAGCCGTGAAATTTCTTTCAGAAAAAAAATGTAGAAAGAATAGCGCTGTTTGGCTCAGAAGGGAGGCGGGGGAGGCAGCGTGCCAGTTATCAACGCTGTAGAGGCCTGCAAACTCATGTTAAGGTGTGCGAGGGTACTCACAAATGTTTATAGATCTGATCAAGGTGAAAACTGAAGATACTAATAGCAAACTGGCAGAATCCCCCCTCCCCTCCACTTTCCCCCCCTGATAGCCAACGGCGCCAAGGAAATGTTAAACAAGAAAGGAGAAAATGATGCGATGGAGTGTCCACTCAGGATGATTCTCCTGCTGAATTGCACTTAGGCTACTCTTAGGCTGCATTCATACTTTGCGGTAGCGTCCACCAGCGTTCCGAGCGTCCGGCAGCGTCAGCGACTAGGGAAAGTATAGATATCGATCTAGCGTCCACCAGCGTCTCGAGGGCTAAGGAAGTATAGGTATCGATCTGGCAGTTGCCAGCGTCTGCCAGCTCACCAGCGTCCACAAGCGTCTACCAGCGTCTGGGAGTGGAGAGTATGGCGCGATAGGAAGGTAGCAGACAGCTGGTGCCCTCCTATCGCACCATACTCTCTACCAGTCTGCTGCTGGTCGCTGGTGGACGCTGGTAGACGCTGGCAGACGCTAAATCGATACCTATACTTCTCCTAGCCCTCGAGACGCTGGTGGACGCCGGTAGGCTGGCGAGCGCTGGCAGACGCTAGATCGATATCTGTGTTTTCTTAGTCGCTGACGTTGCCGGACGCTCGGAACGCTGGTGGACGTTATTGGTTGCTGGTGGACGCTGCCGCAAGGTATGCAGCCTTACTTTTACTACAATTGCTACACCAATACCAGGTTCGCAATTAGTCGGGGCAATGTGTCAGTAGGGGCGAGGTGGGGCTTCGTCTGACGCTTTGCTTTAGCCCAATAGAGCTCCATTTAAGTGATCGATTGAGGAGGCAAAGTGCAATCAGTGGTGTGTCAACGCCGCGTGTGAGCTCATTCCATCCTTTCTTGCCGCTCCGACTGATTGCGACAATATAAACTGTAGCACCGCTCTAGTTTGATTAGAGGTTACTGCCGTTTTGGCTGTAAAAACAAATAGGAAGCAGCAAAAAATAAAAATTCAATAGAAATGAAGCAATTTTAATATTGAGTACAGTCGCTCACCCGCAGACTCCTGCACTGACTAGAAAGGCGAATAGAAGCCAGTGGTCACAGGCGATTATATCGTTCATAGAGTGCACTTGACATATATCCCTCCAATCTGAATTCTCGAAACTGTTAACTAGGATAAACAAGTAAATAAGTATATAAACATATAATAATACAAATGAGCAAGAATTACAAATATATGCCATACAATAGAAAATAAATAGTAAAAGACAAAAGTAAGGAATAAATGGATGGGTACAAACTTACACAAAATAACTGCAGAACAAAAGAGTGCTGTTGACACAGCGATAACCAACAAATAGCAAATAAAACTCCGATGATTATTGGCAGCTACACAATTGTTAATCTGAAGACAAAAAATTATTCAGGAAAAAATAAAACATATATAACAATATAGCAATATATC